CCAAAAGTAATATATACTTAGGAATAATATTTCCTTATTACATCCAAAAGTAGTATATACTTAGGAATAATATTCCCTTCTTACATCCAAAAGTAGTATATACTTAGGAATAATATTTCCTTGCTACATCCAAAAGTAGTATATTCTTAGGAATAATATTTCATGCAAACAAATCAGTGATTAGATATAAACTTTAACCAACGAAAGTAGCGATTGTTAACAGACACGATATTTTAAAATTTTTTACTACGATTTGTTTTGCTTTGCTTTGCAGGCAAGACGAAAAACGCAAAGGAAGGAACAAGAAGCAAAAATGATGGAAATGAAAAAGCGACAGGAAGAGATTAGATTACGTGAGATGGTAAGTGACAAAACCCTATATACAGGGCTCTTACCTTAATTTCGTGACATCATGTGTATTTTTTTTTGCATTCATTTTATGTTAACCCAGGCAGACCCAGTTACATTCTATCAGGCTAACTGTATTTTATGATAACTAACAACTAACATGTGTCATTTTTGAAATAATCATCTACACAATAAAGCATTTTGAAAATTAAGCAATTTTTAAAAAATCGAAGAAACATCGTTCAAGAATATGCATTTCCTTAATTTTGTAATTGTGACTGAAAACCTGAATTTGTCGTATCTGTAAAATGTATTTATTATATTTTATTATTTCAACATTTGATTTATAAGAGTAAAGGTATTTATATAAAACAAATACTGTAACAATTAAATGATATTTTGTTATAATATGTAGGTTTCGTAAGAAATACTATATTTATAAAATAAAGAAATTTGTTATAATACTTAGGTTTCTTAAAAGAATACTATAACCATTTAAAATTTGTTTAACCCATAGAATAGGCATTTTCAGTGGAACTATAACTGTGCATTAACTATATCACTATCTGATAAGCCTACCAGTGGTACAGCGGAATGTCTTCGGATTTACAACGCTAGAAACCGGGTGTAGCTTTGTATTTAACTTCAAACAAATGCTACCTGATAAACAGTGAATTACACTGGGGAAAATGTGACACAGGAAAACAATCACGTGTATATATTTTATAAACAGTTATGTTATTTTATTAATGAGAATCTGATAACTAAGATACTATATATATATATATATTCTTAAAACAACCAAAAACTAAGTACCACTCCAAAAATATGTTTTTTTTTTAATTAGGAGGAAAAGAAACAAAAGGAAGCGGAAGCCAAAAGGAAGCGTTTAGAAGAGGCTGAAAAGAAGAGACACGCGATGCAAGAAGCAATGCAAAAACTGCAAGAACCCATCAAGAGGAACTTTGTGATCCAAAAGAAGGAAGATTCTGTTGCAGCCCTTGGCCATCCCGGTTTCGATAAGGTAATTTAAACACAAGACACACTTTTATTACGTTTTATAAATATTACTTTTTAAATAACGTAATTACCACTTTTACTAATCGCACTTTTTAAAATATTTCTTTCAACCTCTAGGGCACTTGTCAGACCAAAACTGTGACTATTTCTAACTCACCCCCCCCCCTCTCATCCGTTCTATTCTTCTTCTTAATGCTAGCCTCTACGGTACCTTTAACAATTTTTTTTTAAAAATATTAATTTTTCACATTTGTATTACTTCACGTTTACTTTTGCAAAATATTAAATAAAATGAGAAAAGTGAAAAATAAAAGATAGTAAAGAAAAAAGTATATTTTTGAAAAATATAATAGTATTGCGTTTAATTTGTTAGTTTAGTTTATTTACGGTACTTTTAAGTGAAGCGAGTTTGGAAAATAAAATTAATGATATACACACACACACACATATATATATATATATGTGTGTGTGTGTG